ATGCCACCTGCTTCACTCTTCTTACTAAGGATTGCTTTAGCTATTCTGGGTCTCTTATTTTTCCAGAAGAATTTCATGACTGCTTTTTCTATTTCTATGAGGAATGTCATTGGGATTTTGATGGGAATTGCATTAAATCTTTATAGTGCTTTGGTAGTATGGTCATTTTGACAATATTAATTCTGTCTGTCCAAGAACAAGGGAGATCTTTCCATCTTCTAAGGTCTTCTTTAATTTCTTTCTTTAGTGTTCTGTTTTTTTCATTGTAGAGTTCTTTCACCTCTTTCATTGATTCCCAAATGTTTTATTTTATTTTCTTTGAGCTATTGTAAATGGGGTAGTTTTCCTAGTTTCTCTTTCAGCAGATTGTCACTGATGTACAGAAATGCCTTTTACTTATGGGTGTTGATTTTATATCCTGCTCTTTGCTGAATTCATTTATTAGTTCTAGAAGTTTTCTGGTGGAATTTTTTGGATCTTCTAGATATAGAATCATATCATTGGCAAATAGATAATTTGAATTCTTCTTTTCCTATCCGTATCCCTTTAATTTCTTTCTTCTATTTGCTCTGGCTAGAGTTTCAAGAACTACATTAAATAGAAGTGGTGAAAGAGGGCATCCCTGTCTTGTTCCAGTTTTTAGAGGGAATGCTTTCAATTTGTCTCCATTTAGAATGATGTTGGCCTGGGGCTTAGCATAGATAGCTTTTACAATGTTGAGATATGTTCCTACCTCTAGCTTTTCTAGTGTTTTGAACATGAAGGAGTGCTGTATTTTGTCAAATACTTTTTTTTGCATCTATTGAGATGATCATATGATTCTTTTCTTTAAGTCCATTGATGTGGTGAATTACATTTATTGATTTCCATATGTTGGACCATCCTTGCATCCCTGGGATGAATCCCACTTGATCATGGTGCACTATCTTTTTGATATGTTTTTGTATTCGATTTGCCAGAATTTTATTGAGAATTTTTGCATCCACGTTCATTAGAGATATTAATCTGAAGTTTTCTTTCTTTGATATGTCTTTGCTGGTTTTGGAATCGGGGTGCTATTGGCCTCATAGAATGAGTTTGGAAGTGTTCCCTCTTTTTCTATTTCATGAAATAACTTGAGGAGTAAAGTATTAGTTTTTCCTTGAAGGTCTTATAGAACTCCACTATGTATCCATCTGGTCCAGAGATTTTCTTTTTTTCTTTTTTAAAGAGAGAGAGAGAGAGAGAGAGAGAGAGAATTTTAATATTTATTTATTTTTAGTTTTCGGCGGACACAACATCTTTGTTTGTATGTGGTGCTGAGGATCCAACCCGGCCACACGCATGCCAGGCGAGCGCGCCACCGCTTGAGCCACATCCCCAGCCCTGGTCCAGAGATTTTCAAAGAATAAATTTTTTTTCACCACCTCAAAGCAGGCTTTCCATGAAGTCTCAAAAAAAGCAACCTGGCCTGGGTGCTCAGGCAGATAACTAAACTTAGGAGCCCCAAAGGGAACAGCTGCTTTCCCAGTCCTACCACTAGAGGGCGCGGGTAACTTAAACTCGCCTAAGAAGAGCCTGCCTGGTCACCTTTCAACCAATCATCAATATTTACAAAAAGCGGCAGTGCAAAGCCAAGGTAGAAAGTAGTCTAATATACAACTTAAAAAAAAAAAAAGTAATCTAATCTGGACTCCATGCAAGACTGCCTAACAGAGACAAAACGGAACTGATCTGTCTTCCTAAATATCTTCAGGGAAGAAAGACTCCCCCCACTTTTGGCTAATTTGCCTCATCCTTAAAGCGCCTTATCCTAAGAAGGTTCTCCCTCACCCTCCTGGGGTAAGCTAAGCTGGAACCAGGAGCAGCTCTTTGGCGTCCTCACTGCAACCATTTCCTGGAGGTGCTTGTAAATATTAACCAGGTGTATAGCTGTAACGTCGTCAGTTCTTACATCAAAGAGAAATAGTACCCTATTGTTTCTCTTTAGCAATTTACAGTTTGTCTTGATCTCTCTCCAATCTCTCTATGCCCTTTTTAGAGAGTCAAAACCAAAAATGGACTTTGTACTCCCATCTTCTATATGGTCCTAGATTTGTATCATATACCGGAGCAATAGGCTATCATTCAGTAAAATAAGTCATATTTATCAACTTGATAACACAAGCCACACAGAACAAAGACAATGGCAAAGCAATGAAGAACATGCTTAATATTCTAAGTTTAATGAAGGTAAGGCAACTGCTCTCAGTTTTGATTAACATTATTAAATGTATATGTTTGTGGACAAAATCTAGAAGGCAACATGAAGATAAGAAACAATTGAGGACTTGGGAGGCTGAGGCAGGAGGATCTCAAGTTTGAGGCCAGCTTCAGCAACTTAGGAAGACCCTGTCTCAAAATAAAAATTTAAAAAAGGGTTGGGGATATAGCTAAGTGGTAGAACACTCCTGGGTTCAATCCCTGGTACACATACATACGCACACAAGGAGAAGAGAGAGAGAGAATCGATCTGTTAGATTTGGGGGGTTGATTACTTGTCTATTTTTTCATTGTTTCTATAATTTTAAAAACTTTAAAAAATGGAAAAATGAATAAAGTCTTATATTGATCAGTTACGCAGCATGCAGTACATGTAATATTCAGGGTCAGATATTATATGGAAGGCAAAATCAGACACAGGCCCTGGAAATACTACTGATGTTCAAAAAAAGCCACTGACATACATGCTTATTGACCTGAGAACTACTATCATCCCTATGTGTCAATTAACAAAGTGAGAAACAGAGAAGTAACTAGCTTATCTAAGGACATAAAGAATAAAAACAGAATCAGAATTGAACTCAGACACTCCAATATGCAAGAACTTGGTCTTAATCACACTGCCTCTCAGGATAGCCTAATAAGATAGGAAGAGACAAATGACATTGTTTTAAACATTGAGCAAATATTTACTGAGCACCTACTATATGTGAGGTGCCAGAGTAGGTATTAGAAATACATTGATAATCAAGACAGCACAGTCCCTGAACCCAAGGAGCTCACAATCTATAGATACAGCATTATGGGAGATCAGAAGAGAAAAAGAGAAGAGTACCCACCTTGAGGATATTTAAGAAAGAATCATCTCCCTATATCTGTATTCCTTTCTGAGCAAAGCATCAATCTTGTGGAGAGAAAGGATTGAAGAGGAGGGAACACTAATGCCTCAGAAGAAAAGTAATGAGCTGTGGCATCAATTCATCCAGCAAACATTTGGAGAGGAGATCCAAAAATAAGGACAGGATCAGGCAAGGAGATAGCAATAGACCTTTAAGGTCCCTGCCAATCTGAGACCCTTTCATTCAAATGGTCCTTGAGCATTAAGTGCCAAGCTAGACCCTGGAAATACAACTGTTTATAAGCTATGTGCCTGCCCCCTGGGGAATTTATAGTCTAATGGGGCAGGCAGGCAACAAAGCAAGAAATTTCAGTACCATATGTTAAAACCTGAGGTTAAAAGAAACACAGAAGGAGATGAGACATTATGCAGACTGGGACCAGACAGCAAAGTGACATCTATACTCAGCAATGAGGTAAACTGGAGTTAGGGTGTGTGATCTATGCTGAGGGAACAGCTTGTACAAAGCCCTGGAAATGAGAGAAAGCCTAGGATTGCAATGACGCTCTGGTTTATAGAGTGGTACCAATTAATGCCACTAAATTGCTAAATTCCTTCATTACTCATTCCTGAGTTCAGGAAGGGTTCTAGACATCAGATTGACGTAAGGCCAACTTGAAACAGACTGTTCTCCACCTGATTACTCCAGAGCTCCAGCCTAACTAGTCCATCTGAGCCCAACTTTGGGCTCAACATTTTGCAACTGGTGTTTATATCTTCTCTGGCCTTTCACTGATTCGTTCAGTCAGCCAATCAGCAAGCCCTGTATTAGACTCCAGGAAAATAAGAAAGTTCCACCTGCCTCCCCCAAGTAGGGGCAGGTAGATAGTGCCCTCCACACCTCTGAATCCCACGGAACACAGTTCAGTGCTTTTACACAATGGTACCATTTGATCTACTAAACATAGACTGAAAGAAAATATATTCATCCCATGTCATAATTACTATCTCAACCCACATCTCCACATTCCCTAATACCAACACACCGGCCACAATGTGGTGCCTATGAGGGCACTTCTCCCTCATTCTCAGACTGCCAATTGCAAGTGCCAATGACCTAGCACAGACAAAGTACAGCTTCCTGTGTTAAAAGGAGAAGCTTTGAGGGCTGGGGTAGCTCAGTGGTAAGGTGCTTGCCTAGCACTGGTGAGGTCATGGGTTCAATCCTCAGCACCACATAAAGATAATCAAATAAAGGTTAAAAATTCTGGGTGGAATTCTCTTTTAGCTTTATAATATTGAGCAAGTCATTCAACTGGCACCCACAGTTTGCTTCATCGGTAGAATGAGAATAATAGCAGCTCTTTCTTTGGAATTTGTTGGATGAATGTCACTGGCTGAATTGAGAATAGAAAATAAGGCAGTTTATGTAAGGAGATTATCGTGTCGCTTGAAATATAAAATGCACTCAGTGAATGGCAGGTGGGGGAGACTTATATAGATGATGATGTTGATGATGGGGATACAGGAAGGCAGGTCGTCAGTTCTGTAAGTCACTGGTGGGAGTCACAGCAACCTCCGCCTATTCCCTCTGGCCCTGAACAGGACACGTGTAAGAGATCCCCAGTCTCTTGAGACTCGGCCCACGCCCCAGCCTCCGCTGGGAGTGCCAGCCTGCGTCACTCACCCGGCTGTCCGGCTTCGGGAGGGCTGCACGACACATGGTGGGAACGTGAGGGGGCGTGGCCGGATCCGGCACCACTAGACCAATCGTGCGGCGGAAGGTTCCCAGCCAATGACAGACGCGCTTCAGGGCCCTGGGGGCGGGGCCACAGGGAGGAGCGGCGTCGTCATAGGTCACTGGGCGGGCTCTGGGCGGGGTCCGCGGCTCCGACAGGGGCGGAGCAGCGGCGGCCGGCGCAGTCCGGGCAGTGATGGCGGCGGCTGTGGTGACGGCGGCAGCGACGGTCCCAACGCCGGCAACCAGCGCGGATGGTGCCTCCTCAGTGCACTGGTTCCGCAAAGGGCTGCGGCTCCACGACAACCCGGCACTGCTGGCGGCCGTGCGCGGGGCCCGCTGCGTGCGCTGCGTTTACATCCTCGACCCGTGGTTCGCGGCCTCCTCCTCAGTGGGGATCAACCGATGGAGGTGAGGTGGCCCGGTGCGCTCGCGGGGCCTGGGGACGGAGTCTGTCCCCACCGGCTCGGGGGAAGCGGGGCAGGGAGACGGAGCGGGCTGTCCAGAGGGGAGAAGCCTGGACCTGAGATTCACTGGTCGTCACACTCCTGCCCTCGGTGGTCCAGGGCCCCACCTGACACAGCGCTTTCGCTCTGAGTGTCATTCCCTCTGAGTCCCACAACATGCCTGTGGGACAGACATCATGGTCCCCATTGTACAGATGAGATCCTTGAGCCCTGGAGACGCAAAGTTGACCTGCTCAAGGACTTGCAGCCCGTGAGTGGCAGAACGGGGACTTAGGGGTGTGTTGAGGGAGGGGCCGAAGGCGGTGATGTGGTGTGAGGGCAGGGACGGGTTTTCTCTGTCGTTCTTGAAGTGAAGAGCGTGTTGTTGGGCTGCTGAAGGTCATCCCTAAGCGTCTGGTTTGTTTGAATCGATCCTTTCACCCATTTTGGCTTCCTTCCACCCAGACAGACCTGCCTCAGGGTGTCCAGAGACCCTGGCTTAGCAGGGTCTTCTCCCCTGTATTATAGCTAAAGGACCCCAAAGGCATCTTCAGGCAGCTTGTATCTTGAGCTCCAGAGCAGTATTGAACCCATTTTAGAAAATCCCTTCAGCAGCTATGACCTTGCTAAGAAAAAAAAAAATTTTTTTTTTAAAGAAACCCAAGTAGCACATTCTTCCCCCTCTTCTCAAAGATGATTTTAGAGGGCAGTTGAACAATTATAGATTAGATTCTGATAAACTGATATGATAAAGATAAGGAGCAAGAAAGCCATGATATCAAGGGCTTCTCTTGGTGCCTCTCAGGAAATGAGTTCTCTCCCAGTATCATGGGGAAGGATTATCAGGTATTGGTGTGTTTTCTCTGTAAACCAGAGTTCAGAAGCAGAGAGTTTGGATACATTGTGTCCCCAACACTCTTTTAAAAAGGCCCTGCAGCTGTGGCTTGGTTTGTTTGCATTTTTCAGAGGGATGTTTACTCGTGGCCTCATTGCACAGATGGACAGGGTTATTCCCAGGATACAGTGCCTCTCAGCACCCCATTCTTTCCTCTCCAAGGCATGTGTCCTGCTAGGAGAGGCAGTACTCCTAGCAGTGGGTCTATTAAATGCCCCCTCCTGCCACATTTATATAGAGGGAACAACTAAATATAGTCCTGTGGAGAGCCTGCCCACACTGTTTTCAGGCTGCTCTATTGCTCTGTCTTGCTCTAGTTTCTATAGATAGGAGGTTGGGTTTGACAAACATCCTCAAATAACCATCTCCAGTGTGGACATTAAACCAAGCCTCAGACTTTGTCCCTCTCCTTTTGGCAGTGTTCCAGTCTGAGCATAGTAAATAGAACCAGCTACCTGGTTACATTGTTATATTGTCATAAAGGTGTTTCTTTTATGGGGTTTAGGGGAACATTGCTTAGGACTACCTGCTTCTTTGTGGTTGAGATTAAAAGTGAAGGACAAAAACTGTTGCTGATTAAATTCAAATTTACTAGGAACTAGGCAATTAGGGGTTTTTATGGGTCACCCTTTTGTGATTGTACTTTCAAGAGGGTGAAGGAGAAAAAAGAATATGGCAGTTCAGATGCCTGAGTTAAATCCTGAAGTCACAGGCCATATAGTAATGTAGACATTAATTGAGTGATTATTTGGTGAGTGCCTAATATCTGCCAAGTACTGTTATAGGTGCCACTGGGGGGTACAGCTGTAAACAGGCAGATGCACACATCTGTGCTCCCAAAGCCCATACAGTTTACCCTGTAGTGGAGAAAGACATGTAAACAGGCATAATTTAAGGGAACTAAGTGCCATGAAAAAATAAGACAGGAGGACAGGACGGACTAGAGCAGTGGTTCTCAGTTTTGGCTGCACATTGGAGTCACCTAAGGATCTATAAAACATGGCTGGGCCCTCTTCCAAATCTGATTGAACTATTCTGGCCTAGGAATTGAGGTTTTTAAAGTGATTGCAACAAAGCTTGAGAAGCCCTGGACTAGAGAAGCACAGGCCCAAGCCAGACAGCCTGGGGAGTGTGTTGCTGCAGTACACTGGCAGGAAGTCTAATTAGCATTGGCATCAGGAGAAGGAGGTGAAATCCACAAAACAGACTGACTGTGGTAACTGCTCTTAGGCCTGGCAACAGATTCGCTCCTGCCAACCCCTCCAGTCGCCTCTTCCTGGGGATTGAGGGCAGAGCTGCATACTGTTTTGTGCACAAGGTTGGGGGTGGAGGGGAATGGTGGCATGAGGCAGCTGTACCTCTGCATAACCACAGTTTTCTGGTGTAATCTTCCGGTGGCTGTTTCTGGATCCTGGGAATGGTGTGGGAAGATTGTGCTGCAGTGTAGCCTCCTTGTTCTCAGTTGCTTGAGTTGCTATCTCTGAAAAGCCCTTTTAGGAAGATTAGGGTCCATCTTTAAGAAGGGGGGGAAGGAATCAAGGTCTGCCGTCTCTGTTACCTTCCCACACACCCTACAGACTGGCTCCTACACAGTATTTTTCTGCAGATGGAATCAGATTAAAATAACCATGGATGACACTCTCTAAAAGAGAGCAGAGAAAGGCAATCAAGAAATGCGTGTGTTTCTTGGCAGAGGAGGCTAGCATACTCCTTGCCTTGGTGGTAGTAGGAAGTCTGTAGCTGTGTGAACCTCAGGAATTTTTTTCCAAGCACCAGTTGGCTGAGCCCTTTGCCATTGCCCCAACCCTTTCTTGCCCAAATTCACTGCCTCTGGAAGAAGGCAGTACAGCCAGAGCCGACACGAAAGGACGATGCAAACAACGTCTAGATTTTACTCAGACTGACTATGGTAACTGATTGTGGTATGGTAACTGATAGGGCTTTGCAGTTTTTAATTACCTTTTTCTCCCTGCTACAATGTAGATAGAGTTTGGCAATGATTCTCCTCACACTTTATTTAAATCATTTTGTCCCTGGCTCGGTGCTTTTGGGAGCTTTTTGGGAGCTTCCGGTACAGAGGGAGTTGGTAGAAATAAAATATGTTCTCTCTCAGCCCATTTCTCTCAGAATCAGTAATGAGGTAAACTGGGAACTTCTCAGATGCCTGATGAGAACCAGTGTCTCTTCACAAGTGCTGGGAGCTGAATGCTGGTGGACGATAGGAAGTGGGTGTCCCCACTAGACCTTAGTCTGCAAGAAGAAGTTGAGGACTGTAGTCTGCTATGGAAATTTTTGCATTTCTCTGAGCAAGACTTTTATTGTTCTGCTGCTCAGGGTGTATTTCTATTTGCTCAAGAGGGATGAAAACCTTCATCTTTCACTTTGGAAATAGGAAAGAATTGATATATTTTCATCCAGATGATACTTAGAATTCAGTCCTTGTTGTGGATTATGAGTTTAGGTTATCCTTTTCCATGGGGCTTAAGCTCTCTTGATTACTTAGGAGACATTGATTTCTATTAATGTCCTATGGAGCCAGTGTGTGCCAGCCATTGGTATCATCATTAGAGCTAGAGAACCTTGTTTTGAAAGAGTGGAACTTGGTCAAAGGGGCTCTGGACCCAGAAGAAGAATTCACTGTCATCCTTCCCCACCCCATTAACAACAAGAAAACAATATATTTCTCCACACAGAATCTGCTATCCCGAGAGAAGTCGTTCCTAAATATAAGTACTTAACCAAAGAATCTGCCTGTCTTATTTAAAGGGTTCCTCATGGAGTCACTGAATTACAGAGTCCTCTCTGTATTTTTGGAAATCCCAATTTGGTTTTTTCCCCAGTTCTGTCTGCCTCTGGCTCTAGAGGACTTACGTAATGCAGTTCAGTTGCACGTGTTGTCTAACTCAAAGGGTGAGCTCCACTGCGCCCGCAAGACTGTGTTCTGAATTTGGGCCATGTGAACTCAGCTGGGAATTGCCAAGGGTGGGCCTTGGCAGGGCTGTTTCCTTTGGAGTCCCCCTCATTGGAGTAAAGAAACGCTGTGGAGGAGGAGGGCCAAGGGCACACAGAGGACCAGGCTTCTCCTTGATGAAAGAAGCTTGCACCTGCCTGTGCAAGCATTCACAGTGGCAGCACTGTCCCAGTACCTTTGGTACAATGCAAAACTGACATCTGGCAGGCCTGAAGGTAGTACCAAAGGGAGGCCAGGGCTGCCAGGGCTCCTCCTCATGTCCTTTGCCTCCTGTGAAGTCGTCCTGAGCCCTCCCTACAGGGCTTGACTGAGGAGTAGTTGGAAGTAGAGCATTTCTCCAGGCCCAGAGACAAGGCAGGAGCCAGGGTCTCTGAGAGAATATTCAAGAGAAATGAATTCAAAGGAAGGAAAGGCAACTTGTAAACTAAAGCTGGCAGTCACGTCCATTTTCTGGGATGGGGCTTCTGAAACTGGAATGTACAAATGAATCTCCGGTGATCTTGCTAAAATGCAGATTCTGATTGCCGAGGCCTGGGACAGAGCCTGCATTGCAGCAGGCTCCTGGGCGACTCACAGCCCACTGTGAGCCTCAGATCACACTTTGAGTAGCAGAGATGTGGCCTTGGAGCTGGGCTGTGGCGCTCCCTAATGGGCGGCGCTCCCTCACTGCTCACCACTCAGAGGCAGGGGAGCTTGGTGGTCAGGAGTGCACACACCAAGCCAGGCAGACGGCCGGGTTCAAATTCTGGCCGGTTACTAGGTACTTATTTTAGGCACGTTGGTCTTCCTGTGCCTCACTTCTTCACAGCACTGTTTGAGAATTAATGAGACAATGGATGTAAACCAATAGAACAGTGCCTGGTTCGTCATAAAGCTCATTTGTTGTTGTCCTTATTACTATTATTACTGTTTTGTTGCTGGGTTCAGAGTTGTGCCTTCTGCTTCCTGCCTTGGCAATTGACATCTCTTGTCAAAGAGGAAAAGGGCTCTCTGTTCTTTGAAGATGCTGCAAGGAAGCTCTCCTTTTAGTAAATGAGGCCTAAAAATAAAGGTTTGTAGAAGGCAGATTGCAACATGTTCTGGAACCTAGATTTCACGTGCATTTCAGTCTTATTTATATAGCTTCAAATTGAAGTTCTTTGCAGCCTGGTAGACTGTGAAGGAAGGGACCCCCACCCCCACCCCAAAGTGCCTGGCAGGGACATTCCTGAGCCTCAGATGGAGCACCCTCTGTCCTGGGGTTGTGGGATTTAAATGATCCCTTCTCTCCAGGTGTGATCTCTGCAGTTCAGGTGGCTGCGTCTGTTTGCATGGGTCTCTGTTATTTTCCTTGAGTAGGAGGCGTGGGAGAGGCCAGTGCAAATGCGTCACTGTCACTCACAGATCACTTAGCATCAGAAGATATCAGTTTTTCAAAAACAAATTCTCAGAGGCGGAGCTTTGGTTTACTACAGCATCCTGCAGCCTGTCAGAGTCCCCATCCCCACGCCTCAGCGACCCCCCCCCCCTCCTGCTCTTCAGCTGACAGGATGCTTTGGGCTGGGCCCAGGGCTCAGCTCATGCTGGAATGTGGGCCTGCAGCATTGGCCGTGGAATTGTGTCACATTATGTACGTCAGAGGCAGCAGCAGTGAGGGCTAGCTTAGTTGGCATCCTGGGCATAGTCCCCGTCCCTGTAATCCTCCAGTAGTCAGGGAATGTGATGTGCTGCAGAGGCGGCACTGGGTTTCATTGTGTTCAAAATAAAATCTGGTGACTCTTTTTGTTGACAGAGACAAAGGATGGTGGGGATGAGTGGCAGATGCCAGGAGGTAGACTATAGACCCCTTAGATGGGTCCATGACATATACAGTTTGACCTGTCCAGGTTGGGTACAGATAAGAATGTCAGTGAATTACCTCTGTGAGGCTTGGGTCCATCAGAGAAAGGGATTCATCAGGAGATCTGCAGACTCTCAGCCATGGAACAGTGCTGGCCCCCCACTAGAAGATTTTAGAAATGGGACACAGAGGAGAAAACATGGGCTTAAGAGTCTGACTGAGCCAGGCGCAGTGGTGCATGCCTGTAATCCCAGAAACTTGGGAGACTGAGGCAGGAGGATTGTGAGTTCAAAGTCAGTCTCTGCAACTTAGCCAGGCCCCAAGCAACTCAGCGAAACCTTCTCTCCAAATAAAACATTAAAAAGGCTGGAGATGTGACTCAGTGGTTAAGCACCTCTGGGTTCAACCCCCTATACCCAAAAAAAAAAAAAAAAAAGTCTGACTGACCTGAGTTTCTGTGTTAGCTCTGTCACATAATATCTATGCTCTTAGGAAAATTAATTAACCTCTCTGTCTCAATTTTTCTCATCTGTAAAATGGGGATAGTACAATTGACTTTAAAATGGGTTGAGAGAATTAAGTGAGGAAATTATCTTAAAAAAGCATGACAGATTCATAAGCAAACTGATTGCCTTGGCTGCCTCTGAGGAGGGAAGCAGGTGGACACTTTTTACTGTGTACCCTTTTGTCACTGGTTTTGACCCACATTTATAATTATATGGTTAAAGTATTAATTTAAAAATAAAACCAAAAGCATTCAACAAAAGTCCCTTTCCTTTTCCCCTGGTGACCCTGCTGTCCTGCCACCACCACCAGTGAACACAAGCCCACTGGTGAAGGTATCTATACAGAAGTACCTTTTTTTTTTTTTTTTTTTTTTGACAGGGGATTGAACCCAGGGGCCCTTTGCCAGGGAGCTGCATCCCTAGTCCTTTTTATTTTTCATTTTGAGAAGGGGTCTTACTAAGTTGCTCAGACTGGCCTCAAACTTGTGATCCTGTCTCAGCTTCCCAGGCTGCTGGAATTTTAGGCATGCTCCATCGCACCTGATTCTAAAAGTACTTTCTAAGATTAGGTGAGAACCTGGTGGCCAGAGGCCTGAAGACAAAACGCTGGGGACCGAGGACCCAGCCCAGGCTCTGAGTGGGGTTGTGGCAGTAGAATATACACAGGTCACAGCACGAATGCAGAGGGGCCAGGAGGTGGTTGGACAGGGTGTGGGGGGGGAATTTTCCAGGGCTATGATGACCTGTTTCTCTCCCAATGGGACCTTAGTGCTTCCGTTTCACAGTGTCACAAGTGTTCTCAGGTGGCTTTCTTATCCGCCCTCCCATTTGATTCTCACAACAATCCTGTGCTGCGCCCAGGGCTGAGAGGGGACGGGTGCTTTGTCTTTGATGGTGTAGCACACAGCAGTAGGAACAGCTCACATTGAGCCCACGATTTCTGTGTGCCAGGCTCAGTGCTAACCGCTGCCTTGCAGTGTTTCTCTTAGCAATTCTGTGAGTCCTAGCATCTCTGCAGGTCCCCTGTGCTCACCTCAATCCCGTGTTACAGAGAAAAACAAGCCAAAGACTGAAGTAACTGCCTGAGGTCACGTGGCTAGTGGGCCACAAGGCCAGGATTTCCCCCAGGCAGCACTGACCCACCTCCATCGCTCCCTCCCTGGTTAGGAAGAGCTCCTGTTTTTCATGTTGTCACTGACAAGGCCCGTGTGTTCTCTTCAGGTTCCTCCTGCAGTCTCTGGAAGATCTGGACACAAGTTTAAGGAAACTGAACTCCCGCCTGTTTGTAGTCCGGGGACAGCCAGCTGACGTGTTCCCAAGGCTATTCAAGGTGAGCATGTGGGCCCCAGAGAAGACAGGGAGTGTCTGCTCCTGGGGGTCCCCTCAGGTTGGGTGAGCTGCTAGTCTGACCAAGGCCATGGAAGGGCTGGGCGGGTCTGGCCGTCAGATGGCTGCTGCAGAAATCGGAAGCCAAGGCAGCCGGTCAGCCACCAACCAGATGGAAACTGTGCGAAGGAAAATTTTCTGTGAAACTAGTGTCTTGTTGGAAAGTTCCCAGCTCAGTCCAGACTGCGATGTGGTAAGCCATTCCACCCCAGATACCACTGGCTTCCTTAGATGTTTTCTTGGCTCAAGCCAGTAAGATTTATTAGAACTCCTTCTCCGCCAGGAGGGCAGGGTTTCCTGTGGAGAGCAAGGAGTGGTTCCCGTTTTGCTTTGACTCCACTTTTTGGAGAAAAAAGTCAGTCTGTGGGAGTGTCCCGGTGCCCCGGGGTAAACCGTGGATGAGATCTTCCCATGAGTGCCACACGGGCTGTAGGTTGTGATATCGGGGCAAGCCCACCGGGGGCCCCCCCCAGTGCCTTCAAAAACCACATTTTAAGACCCAAGTAGAAACAAAAGTATCCGTGGACAGAGGGCTCTAGGGAAGACGCCCTCCATCTTCAGCAGCGCGCATGGTTGTGATGCCCCTTCCACCCCAACTCATGACAGGAAAAGTCTGATGTCAAGGCACGTGGCTCCAGGAGTGTGTCATTACCATTCACTTGTCTCCCCACACCCTCCCCATGTAATTACGCACACACACAAGCACTTACAGATCACTCAGCACTAGTGGTTGCTAGCACTCCTTGAGGGCTGACTGAGCGAGCGCTGTTCCCAGCACTCACATGCATTACCTCACCCCTCACAGCAGCACCAAGAGTCGGGGGCTCTGTCCCAGTTTTACAGGGGAGGAAGCAGTAATTTGTCATGTTCAGAAAGCTAACAAGTAGTGGTCTTGAGTATCTGATTTTAGAGCTCTGTGTGTACCCACCATACCTTATAAATATTTGGGCTGGCGCTGTAGCCGAGTGGTAGAACAGTTGCCTAGCAAACATGAGGCCCTGGGTTCTATCCCCAGCACTGAAAAAAATAATTGCCTGTCTTATCCCTCCACATTGTTTCTTCCCCAGCAACTCAGGCCTACCCAGTTACAGGCCAGAGGCATAGACTGATCAATCGGTCATTCCTTGTATATTTGTGAGGCTACTACTATGATGTATTAGGCCCCTTACTTCATAGCAGGGTAACTGCGAATGAAACAATATGATTTCTGCTTTGAGAGTTCACACGCTGATGGGAGAAACTGGCAAATAATGGGCAATTTCACTGCTGTATGTTAAATGTTAATGAAAATAGGACAAGGTAGAGGAGAATCATATTGAAGGAAAGGGGTGTCATTTAATAATAATGATGTTATTATAATTCACAGGATTGTCATAAGTATTTAAAGATGTAATCTATATGACTGCTAAGCATAGTACCTGACTTATAGTAAGGGCTCAATAAATGAGTGCTTTATCTTGGATGAGGAAGAACCCACCCTACTAAGGACCCACTCCCCCAGGCAGGGCCGAGTCAGGACCAGAGCACCCGAGTGTAGCCAAGACAGTTACTCCTGAGGCTCATAGCTTTACGGGACCAGAAACATGGACTTTGGTTAAAATGTGTTCTTCTTGCTTGTCACATGCTCTAGGGCTTTCTCTGGGTTTTCTGTATAGCCTTTTGGCAGGCCAACTTTCTCCTGTTGTTGCTAGGCGACAGAGAAATTCCTACCAGCAGGACTGACTGAGGACTTAAAAGAATCCTCTTCTCAGCTGGGCCCCTCTGCTCTGTTTCTCTGACCTCTGGACTGAGGAGCGCTCCTCCTCCTTCGACTCTGAGAGCTGGGGCCTATTAGCTCTGTTTGCTGCCACCCTCAGGAGTGTTGCTGTGGAAACCATTAAGACACTTCACATAGCTCAAGTCTGCCAAGAAAACTAGGCCACAAGTTTGCAGGCTGTGCCGAGCTCTGGGAAAGGCTTGCCGAGCTGGCGGGAGGTGGTGATTCTGTCTCCCACCCTCCACTGTGAGTCAGGCCTCTTTCTGAGCCTGGGGCCTCCCCCCAGGAGCATTGTATTTATAGCTTCCTGCTGCATTCTCCTCCCTCAAGGACACAGCAGATGCACAGGGCCACCCTCTCCTCTCCCTTCACTGACTGCCTTCCTCACACTTTCTGAGCCGCAGGTTGTTTGCCGTCTTGTCCAGATCACTATCCCTAGTTTATTCTATAGTCCACTCAGACAGGGCTGGAGACTGCTCTGTGACCTCCCAGGAGGTGCCCAGCATCCCTCACCCTCCCCAGCATGGCTAAGCATAACATTCTCTCCCTTCAGGAATGGGGGGTGACCCGCCTGACTTTTGAATATGACTCTGAGCCCTTTGGGAAAGAACGGGATGCAGCCATTATGAAGATGGCCAAGGAGGCTGGTGTGGAGGTGGTGACTGAGAACTCTCACACCCTCTATGACCTGGACAGGTGAGAGGCGGGGCCCCGGGGTCAGATCGCCCCTTGTGAGGGCTGGTGGTCTGGGTCCCTGCCAGGTGAAACTCAGAGAGAGGCTCAGCAGTAGCCACCTGGTTATGAGGACCAGTGATTTCTAGAAACTCCAGAGTCAGGCATGTAGACTAGGTCACAAAGAGCTGTACCCGATTTGGGTGGCAAAGATGCCTAAGCTACAGAAGCAGTGAGGATCACACTCAGGATCTTCTCCTAATAGAAGATCTGCTCCTCATCTACTCCTGTCCCATGTGCTCCCACTCTGTCCTGCTCCTCAGTAGATACCCCTCTGTCCTCAATGAACCCTATCTCCCTGTTTCCCCTCCCAACAGGTTTCTGTGTCCTCCCCCACCCCCTGCAGTACTGGGGTTGAAAGTCAGGGCCTCACTTACGCTGGGCAAGTGTTCTACCACTGAGCTACACAGCCCGCCCTTTATGTTTTTTATTTTGAGGCAAGGTCTCAGTAAGTTGCCCAGGCTGGCCCTGAACTACCGATCCTCCTGCCTCGGCTCCCAGGCAGCTGGGATTCCAGGCATACACACACCTCTGCAGCCGGCTAGATCTCTGTCTTATAAGCCCAGTTTCTTTCTAGAATGAGTGCCTGGGCTCCCTGCTAGGGGTGTACAGTGCTGCTTGAGGGGCCTCTAGAGAGCCCTGCAGGGAACTTAACCGCACAGGAGCCTCCTCCTCTGGTGACAGGCCTCTGTGCTTTCGTCCAGGGGGGAACCTCCTCCCCTTCCCTGCCAGAGCCATCACCCTTCTGTTGTTGCTGCTGCTGCCAAGCCAACAGCCACCACTGCTCCTGCCCCCTCTCCCAGCCCAGGGCTGGCTGCCAGGAGGCTGAGTCACACAGCGGTGCACGTGAACCGGGCCTCAGGAGGGGAGTGTGGAGCTCTTCCTCCTGCCACGTGCAGAGGAGGGGGAGGCACTGCAGAGGCAGAAGCCAGCCTCCCGGCTCCGTTAATGGAGGGAGAGCACAGAGGACAAACTGAGAAATAAACTCGCCCCACCAGCGGGTCTTGCATAAGCTGCTTCTTTGGCCAAAGAGCCCCAGGAATCTGGCTGCGAACCATTTCAGTTTATCCTTATGTAAACAGCCTCCCTTCTCTTCCTCGCCCTCTAATATTTTTCCTTCTTTCATGAGTGCGGTTATGTCCCCTGCTCATGAAAAACACTTTGTAAACTGTGAAAGTCTTTAAGCATCAGCTGTCTCTGTTTACTCCAGCCCTGTCCCTGATTCAGGGAGGATCAGCCGGCCTTGCCTTCTACTCGAGTGCATGGGGCTAAAAGGAGGAGAGTATTTCAACAATGAAATATGTTTACAGCTCTTAAGGAGCTTCCTCATGCTGGAGGAGGGAGAGAGGTCCCTGGCCCAGTCAGAAAGGCCAGGTCCCGGGAGGCTAGTGGGGCTCTTCTGTGATTAGAGAGGTATGGTCAGTCTCTGTCTCTAGGCAGCTCCGTGTGGACACCAGGGAACCTGGAACTGAGTCCCAGCTTTGGCCCTGCCTTGCTCCATTGCCTGAGGCACCTGCTCCAGCTCTCTGGGCTTCAGTTTCCCTCTCGGTAAAATGGAGACACAGCCTCCCTTGCCTCCTTTCCACTCGGGTGGGACCTGTGCGCAGATGAGGAAAGCATCCTCAAAGTCTTCAGGGTCTGGTTCTTTTTTGGGTAGGTGGGACCCCAAACCAAGGGCTCTGTGGGTGATGCCATGTGTGCTTTGGGCTCCCCAGGATCATCGAGCTGAATGGGCAGAAGCCGCCCCTTACCTACAAGCGCTTCCAGGCTATCATCAGCCGCATGGAGCTGCCCAAGAAGCCAGTGGGTGCGGTGAGCAGCCAGCAGATGGAGAGCTGCAGGGCTGAGATCCAGGAGGACCACGACGACACCTACGGCGTGCCCTCCCTGGAGGAGCTAGGTGCGCACGTCCCGCCCAGCCTCTCTGGCTGCTGCTCTTTCCTGTTGTAGGAAGTGACTTGTTGGGGTGTTTTTTTCTTTGTGGAAGTAATATATGTTACTATAGAAAGTTTAACAGATACAAAACCATCAAGGTGAAGTAACAACCACTATTTCCCCCATGCCACTATTTTTTTTTTTTTGGCGGGGGTTGGGTGGGATGGTGGTCCCAGGGATTGAACTCAGGGGCACTCAGCCACTGAGCCACATCCCCAGCCCTATTTTGTGTTTTATTTAGAGACAGGGTCTCACTGAGTTACTTAGCACCTCACTTTTGCTGAGGATGGCTTTGAACTCATAGTCCTCCTGCCTCAGCCTCCCGAGCTGCTGGGACTACAGGAGAGTACCGCCGTGCCCGGTGTAGAGAACCACTGTGGATTTTTGAGCATGTCTTGTTTTTTTGGTGCTCGTGCCCATGAGCTCTGTTTCTAGCTCATACCTCCGTGTGTGTGCTCCTCTTTCCGGCAGTGTAGGTGCAGTCTGGGATTGGCTTTCAGCAGGCTTCTCAAGACCAGGATGAGACTAATATTGTCTTGGGTACTGACTCCACCCTTCCTCCCATACCCCACACCATCTTTCAGTCTGAACAATGTAAGCCTTTCTCACCTGAAAACCACAATCACCGCCAGCTAATCTAAAAGAGCAAGACGTCCGGGATCATTGTCACCTGCCTGGAATGATAGGGGCTGGAATGGGGAGGGCAAGAGAAAGGAGGAAATAGTGATAGTGGGAAGAGAACCAGCATGACCCAGAAAACGCTAAAACTTTAAGGGCTGTCTCAGTTCCAGTAGCACCAAGAACAAGAACTGCGCTCTAGTTCTCAGAGACCTTTAAGAACCAAACAGGGTCAAAACTGAGCTGCTTCTGAAATGACTTAACCTCTAGCCCTTTATCTGCGCCTCCTATAGGGTTCCCCACTGAAGGACTTGGCCCAGCTGTGTGGCAAGGAGGAGAGACAGAAGCTCTGGCCCGCCTGGATAAGCACTTGGAACGGAAGGTATGGCCCCGTTTCTGAGCCACAGAACTGCTGCCCATGCTGCAGGGGATATGGGTCACATTCATGTCCCTTAGTGCCTCTTAGCTCCAATTGGTTGCAAAATGGAAATGAAACAAAACACAACCATCCTTATGGCAAAAATAACAGCAGCAGCAAAGTCAGCAGCTGCCACTGGAGAGTCCTTACCTCCACCTGTGCCGGTCACTGGGCTGAACATTTCTGGGTTAAGCACCTGCTTACATTATTTCCTTCAGTCTTTCCAGCAGCCCTACTGGGTAGGTATTAGGCTCTCCATTGTGTAGATTATGAAACTGAGGCTTAGAGACTCGAAGTAATTTGCCTGAGGTCATACAAAAAGTCATAAAGTGAGATATTGGTCTAGGTGCTCATAAAGCTCATGCCAGATTGCCTGCCTGCCTCCTGTGGGCAGCTTCCCCTTAGTAGGAGGGTATCCAGTCAGTAAAGTCCGTAAGATTCATTCCTATGTGTTATGTACCCTGTCTATGGCTGGGTCTCTTCCAGGGCTTTGATGTCCATTTACTCAGACCCAGAGCGCCCACATCTCAGGGCAGTGAAGATTAGCAGGAAAAACAAAAGAGGCTGAGGCCCTAGGACACCTCTCAACAGTGTCCCACAGTCCCCACCAGCCTGTGACCAGAGGGGCAGAGAAGGTCCTCCCCACTGAGAACGGTCAGCTCCTAGCTCCTTTCTTGAAGCTGGTTTGTAGACTGGGCCCCTAAAGTTCCAACTTTTTTCTCTCCCTGCTCAGATGGAAGGTCATTTTTCCCAGCAGCCAGATGGTCATAACGGAGGCTGGGGAAGGCCTGCTAGAGGACAGTGAGCTCCCAGCCCATGGGAATGCTGTGCTGTGGCCTCAGCCCCACTGAGCCCGGCAAACTTGATATTCTTGTCTTGGTGCTTCTATCAGCTGGGGCCAAAACTAAGCCCACCAGACTTGAAAGTCGAGACCTGATGTCCAAGGCTGTGAGGGGACCTGCTTTCTCTGTCTACAGCAAGAGATGTAACCAGAGATTCTTGGGCTTGGTTTAAAGACAGAAATTGAGCCCAAGGGCAGAGGACAGAGATCATAAATGGGATGGCAGAATAGAATAAGACTTTAAAAAGTAAAGAGCTAGTCTAGCTAACCTGTGACCCTATGGATCATGGTTCTTTTCACCTTGGAAGTGTTTTGTAGAGGACTTGCCCCTCAGGTCACCAAGTCAGGATTCATTTTACACACACCCATAGAGACCCTGTCTGTCACGGGACCTCATATCAGGGACCCATTCAGACCCAATGGTAGCCAGAGGACATTGTTTGTCCTATAAATCTGGGAGAACAGAAGGCACTGTGTGAACAGGAGTTGAACCCGTCCAGGAGGCTTACCTTAAATACATTAGCCTCCCAAATGTGAAGTGACCAGCTCATCATGCCAGGTTGTGCTAGTTTCTAGAAAGACTGCCAAACAAGACAGGCAGGAGTCTGTCTCCATGGAGTTGATCATTAAACAGGGAATTACAGATGTCCTGAGGATTAGAACAGGAGAGGTTCCTAGGAGGATCGTGAGAGCAAAGAACAGAAGAATTACATCAGTCAGTTCTTGTTTGCAACTTGCTTTTGAAAATCAGGAGTCACATAACCAGGAGTCTAAGGTATAGCCTTCAGGCACAGCTGATTTTTGTGTCCAGAGAATGCTATTAGGAAGGCGTTATCCATCTCCTAGCTCTGCTTTCCCATGTATCATTTTATTCTCAGACAGAGAAGTGGCAAAGGTGACCACCCAGCCCATTTTCCATTTAATTACTAACATAATAATTATTAATTATTATGCTCTTTTCTAAAAGCTTCAGGAAAAGTTCCAGCGAGTATTTCCATTGATCTGGGTTGTGCTGTGAGACCTTAAATCACTGTGGCCAGGGATGGGTGCTTTCTCTAGCAAGATTCGCATCGTGAACCCACTCCCAGAGGTAGAAAGTGGACGTGGCTCTGCTTTACCCGTGGCCCTAAGATTAGGGAAGGCCAGTTCTCCACAAGAAGATTACATGCTGTTACCAAAAAGGAGGCAAGAAAGGAAGGAAAAAAAGACAAACTATGATCTTCACCTCTCCGTTAGTCAATAGTAGATGAGGGTAAGCATCTCTCTGTAAAAGAATCCTGATCATAAAATGAAAGTGGGATGATAGAATTAGAATACCACCACTTTGCAACACCTATAATGACACACTGGGCACAGTAAAGAGAGACAGATGGGCATTATGTGCCCCCTTAGACTTCCTAGAGGATCAACTCAAGCTCACTCCAGTCTCTGGGACCAGCCACTGGTTTGCAGCCCCTACACAGAGAGGTATAGTGAACTGCATGTGTGCATAGTCACCAAAGTCCTGCCCAGAATCTCACAAGTCCAGTGGCTGGGTTCTTCCACAGAAAAATGGATAGGAGCTGGGCAGGATGGCACACACCTGTAATTCCAGCAGCTCAGGAGGCTGGGGCAGGAGGATTGGGAGTTCAAAGCCAGGCTCAGCACTTAGTGAGGCCCTAACTCAGTGAGACTCTTCTCTAAATAAAATATATTTAAGTGCCCCTGGTTTCAATCCCCAGTACCAAAAAAAAAAAAGGGGGGGGGGAGGAAAAGAAAGATGACAGGAAGTATAGATTAAAAGAAATTTAAAAGAATTAAAAGAAATTTTAGTGGCCTGAACTAAACTGTGGCACCTAGGGATGCGTGTGCAGGTGAAAAAAAGCAGCTACTTAAAAATGCAAAGAGTAGCTGAAAGGAAAAAGCCCTTCCTCCCAATCATGCTTTGCAAAAGTAGAAAAATGGAAGCATTTCAGAAATGCAGAAGGCTGGGGCTGTAGCTCAGTGGTAGAGTGCTTGCCGAGCACGTGTGAGGCACTGGGTTCAATCCCCAGCACCACATATAAATAAACAAACAAAGGCATGCTGTCCATCTACAACTACAAAAATATTTTTTAAAAAATAATAAATTGGGGCCGGGATTGTGGCTCAGCGGCAGAGCATTCGCCTAGCATGTGCAAGGCCCTGGGTTTGATCCTCAGCACCACATAAAAATAAATAAATAAAGATATTGTGTCCAACTACAACTAAAAAATAAATATTTAAAAAAATAAATAAACAAATAAAATAAACTTTTGAAAAATGCAGGAAACAGCTGGGTGTGGTGGCATGCCTGTAATCCCCAGCAACTCAGGAAGCTAAGGCAGGAGATCAAAAGCTCAAGGCCAGTCTCCACAGTTTAGCAAGGCCCTAAGCAATTTATTGAGACCCTGTCTCAAAAATAAAAAAGGGCTAAAGATGTAGCTTAGTAGTAAAGCCCTGGGTTAAATCCCCTGTGCCAAAAAAAAAAAAAAAAAGGAAATGATTATGAAAGTTGGGCCAGGTATGGTGGTGGCACATGATCCCAGTGGCTTGGGAGGCTGGGACCGGAGGATCACAAGTTCAAAACCAGCCTCAGCAATGGCGAGATGCTAAGCAACTCAGTGAGACCCTGTCTCTAAATAAAAATGCAAAATAGGGCTGGGGATGTGGCTCAGTGGTCAAGTGCCCCTGAGTTCAATCCCTGGCACAAAAAGAAAATTGGGGCAGTGTCCCTTGTTGGGAGGGGGACTGCACTGGAGTGAGCATATGAATTGACTCCTGGGGTGACTGGCAAAGTCCTGTTTCTTGAATTTGGTGGTGGCTACCTGGGTATTTCCTCAGAATAATTTGTTAAGCCACAATGCCACATGTTTGTGTGCATTTCCATGTCTACCTTTCATTTAAAAGAAAAAGATGAGGGCTGGGGCAGGGCTCAGTTGTAGAGTGCATGCGTAGAGTGCTTGCCCAGCATGTGTGAGGGGCACTGGGTTTGATCCTCAGCACCACATAAAAATATATATATTAAAAAAAAGAAAGCCGCAGGTTGGGGTGCCGGGCAGTCAGGGCCTGTGTGGCCAGAAACACCCGTTAGATGTGCTGAGGTTGAAACCTGAAGGAGATGGCGCTAAGCGAGCCAAGGTGGGAGGACAGGCTCAGGCGAGGAGGCTCAAGGCTGGAGAGAGTGCGGTGCCTCCGGCAGAGGGCCAGAGGTGAGCCGGGCGTGGGTGTGCTTTAGGTGTGTTTAAGACAGAGGGACCCAAAGTAGACACAGGGAGGCCCGTCACTGGCTGTCACCAGTGTGCAGTCTAGATATGATCTTACCCGAACAGATTGATTCCAGTAGAGAATAGAAAGAAGAGGATGAATTGGAGAAGTGAGCGGTAGAATTGCAAGACCTGGTTAGGGGCTGGTCAAAGGCGATGGTCAGTCAGGGCAACTAGGTGGCCACAGTGCATTTTCTCAGATAGGGGAGGCTGGTGGCAGGATGGATTTAAAGAAGAGCATGTTACCTTCAAAGCAGCTGGATGAAGCCATGTGGCTAGAGCTACAGACATGGTGATTGTCTGCACAGAGAAGCTGTTGGGAGCCATGGAACCTGCGGACTAGGACAGAGCCCAACTGCTCACACACAGGGGCAGGTAGGGCAGGCCAAGCCTAGGAAAGACCCAGGGCAGCCTGCTAGCGGGAAGGCACCCAGGCGTGTGTGGAGGCACCGAAGCTCAAGGAAGAGAGGAAATGAGACGGGAGCAGACAGCAGGGTGCAGTGCTGCCCAGAGGTCCAAAATTACAAGCACAGAAAATGCCTTCAGAATTCAGTGGCGTGGAAATCCCAGGAGACTGTGGATGCCAGTGTGGTAGACAGGGGAGCCTGAAGCCAGCCATGGATTAGAAAGGAGGCGTGGGTGGGGAAGAGGGGGAGCCTAGTGTGGAGTCCTCAGGATACCAGAAGTCCTTTGTACTTGGTTTGTTTTGAAATAAGAAACATGAAATCATTTTTCCAGTGTTCTAGAAAAAGAAGAGAGGGTGGCCATGCAAGAGAAGGAAGAGGGGAGGGCTGCAGAGCCAAGTGGAGGCCTTGACCTTGGGCAGCATGAGGGGGGTATGCAGGTGAACCCGGAAACTCAGTAGCCGAAAGATGAGGTGCATCCCACCTGATGGCTTCCCTTGTTTTTATCATAAGGCAAGAAGGTCATCTGCTGAAGGGTGGTGGGGAAGTGTGGTCTGGGAGGTCTCAGGAGGTCAGGTTTGTGAAACAGCCATCATAGAGAGAAGGAAAGGTGTCAGGAGTTGAGAGCAAAGCAATTACCAGCTGTGATGGAAAAAGACCGGGATCTGTCGTCAGAGGCCCAGGCTCTTTCCAGCCCTGTCTCTGTTTTTTGTTGGGTTTGTTATTTGTTTGTTCATTTTTGTTTGTTTTTTAGTGCTGGGGATTGAACCCAGGGCCTTGCACATGCTGGGCAAGTGCTCTACCACCGAACCACACCCCCAGCCCCTCCATGTTTCTTATCCTCTCTGTAACCCCAAGAGTCACAGAACCCGCAGGAGCCTAGTTTCCTCATCTTCAGAAGAAGGTAATGGTAAATGCTGCCCAGAGAATGGTTAAGGTCAGGTGAGAGGACACAGGGGACAGACAGTGAGTTAGGAAATAAAGCACTAGCACAGTGGCTTTGTTTTGTTGTTGTTGTTATTGTTTTTGAGACAGGTTGTCAAGTTCTAAGGCTGACCTTGAACTTGCAATACTCCTGCCTCAACCTTGTGAGCCAGTGGCTATTGATGAAAAAGACAAGACCAATAGTACATGACAAATGAACCCAGGAGGGAATGACTCTGTTGGTCTCCGAAGTGGGTTGAGAGTTTCTTCCTTCCCTGAACAGAACAGTGGTGAGAAGTCCCTAGGTGTTTGTGACACAGCAGCAACAGCCTTGGGCCCCTGGTGACTAGAGCAGGAGCTGAGTGAGTGAGTTCCGTAAAGTAGAAACTGTTTCTTTCTTTCTTCTATATAATTATAGCTTGTTCAGGGCTTTCAGAATTCATTTTCATATCTCGTTTTATTTCATCCCCAGCGATGGGGAATTTTGTTCTTATTTAGTAGATCATCAGCTAAGGACTGAAAAACTCATTTACAGTCTTACCACAAGTTAAGTAGGAAAGTCAGGGGCAAGCACATGGGCACCCTGCTTGGCACGGTGGCGTTCCACCCACAGTCACCTGGCGTGAAGGAGTGGCTTTCTATTGTTTGACCTTAGGCAGAACTACCATCCGGGGCCCGTCTTTAACTTCTGTGACTCTTCTTTTTGTCACCTCCCCTGTCTGCTGCAGGCCTGGGTTGCCAACTATGAAAGACCTCGAATGAATGCCAACTCCCTGCTGGCCAGCCCCACAGGCCTCAGCCCCTACCTGCGCTTTGGCTGCCTGTCCTGCCGCCTCTTCTACTACCGCCTGTGGGACCTGTATAAAAAGGTGAGTGCACAGTGAGGGTGACACCCCCTCCCCCACTTGTAGCCAGATGGATCACAGTTTTCTGGGCCTGCCAATCACCCTGAAAAGGATCCCTCCCTCTCCAGCCCTAGACAGGGGCTAGGTTATGGGTCCCGGAGGTGCACGGTCCAGGGAGCTGGGAAGAGTTGATTTTCAAGAGATGGCAGAGGGAGCACACGCTGAGTCACTGATCCCGATGAGCCCAGATTTTCCTGTGGTGCAGGAGAACAGGCTGAAAAGCAGGCCTCAGGGTGTAACCCTAGAGGGGGCAGAGTCACTGGCAGCAGGTGGGTGGGGGCAAGGTCCTAGGTGGTAAGTGGGGAGTATGAGGCTGAAGCCAGATGTAAACAGTAAGGTGCAGCCGCTGTCCCTGGGGCCGTGGCCAGAGCATTTAGAGGGGAATCCAGGAATGATAAGTGTGATTGGGGGAATCGCCTGGAGGGGCTGCATACAGGGCCATGCCACACGGGCAAGAGGGACATGACCCTGTTAAAGCATTTCTAAGAGGACAGTGTCTTTAGCCTTCATTTTCCTCACTAATCCTGTGTCTACATTTTTTTTCTTTTCTTTTTTTTTTATATATATTATATATATATATATATATATATTTAGGTGTAGATGGTCATAACCCAATGCCTTTAGTTTTATGTGGTTCTGAGGATTGAACCATGCTAGGAGAGCGCTCTACTGCTGAGCCACAATCCCAGCCCCTGCATTTTTTTTTAACAGTACTAGGGATTGAACTCAAGGTCTCATACCTGCTGGGCAAGTATAATACCACTTAGTTGCATCCCACAGGTCTTTTTATTTTGAAACAAGGTCTCACTAAGTTGCCCAAGGTGACCTTGAACTTGTGACCCTCTTGCTTCTGTCTCCCAAGTAGCTGGATTCCAGGTGGGTACCACCATGCCCACCTGTGTCCACAGTTTTTTTCAATGTTATTTCCCCATCCTTCCCAATATCAAGATATTGTGGCACAGAGTAGCTTTGCCAGTTTGATGGATTGTCTTGTGATTGTCGGAAAATCTATTTGCGAGGAGGTCGAATACCTAATTCCCTCATGACCTCAGACCTAGGCCGTCATATAGCTTATAGAACCAAAATCTAGACTGAGAGCTTTTATGCGTGCTGATACAAAAAAAAAAACCTTCAACCTTTCAGAAAGTGGAGCCAAACCAGGCACTCTGAGGACAAGGATCGTGGCTAAGTCTTGGTAGTTGAATTCCTGCAGCAGTGTCCCTCTCCCTGCCAGCTCTCTTCAGTGTCTTTTTATTGTTGTTTGTTTGTTTGTTTTTTGGTGTGCAAGGATCAAGCCCAGGGCCTGGTGCATGCCAGGCAAGCCCTGTGCCACGAGCTGTACCCAGCCTTTGCTCAGAGCAGTGGGCCAGCAAGTGGGGCTGGACTGGTGTGGACTCTGTAGGCACACTGGGTCACTTCTAGGGGATAGGCCCTCTGCATGTCCAGGGGATTTGGAGCCACCAAATTTGGGGGTCTATAGGTTCCTTTGTGAGAGAGACCCAGTGACCAAAGCTAAAATCTGGGCAAGGTATATTCATGTGGCACCCTGCCCCTCAGGTTAAGAAGAACAGCACACCTCCCCTCTCCCTGTTTGGGCAACTCCTGTGGCGAGAGTTCTTCTACACGGCAGCCACCAACAACCCCAGGTTTGATCGCATGGAGGGGAACCCCATCTGCATCCAGATCCCCTGGGACCGCAACCCCGAGGCCCTGGCCAAGTGGGCCGAGGGCAAGACAGGCTTCCCCTGGATTGACGCCATCATGACCCAACTGAGGCAGGAGGGCTGGATCCACCATCTGGCCCGGCACGCTGTGGCCTGCTTCCTCACCCGCGGGGACCTCTGGGTCAGCTGGGAGAGCGGGGTCTGGGTGAGTGCCCTCTCAGCAGAAGCCGGCCCATACCCTCTGATCAGGCCCAACAAAGGGCAGCCCCTTTCTGGGCTGCGGGATGGTGTGGGATCTCTGGGACCAGAAGATCCCCTCCAAATCCTCCATGGCCTGCCCTCAGCAGAAAGGCTTTGGCTCCTTGGGACACTGTGGTGACTTGGGGAGGACACTGGCAGTAGGTGCCAAAGGAAGCTGATTGTCTCCCCACCTCACCTAGGTGTTTGACGAGCTGCTCCTGGATGCAGACTTCAGTGTAAACGCGGGCAGCTGGATGTGGCTCTCCTGCAGTGCATTCTTCCAACAGTTCTTCCACTGCTATTGCCCTGTGGGCTTTGGCCGCCGCACTGACCCGAGTGGAGACTACATCAGGTGAGGCTGCAGACCAGGCTCTGATCTGGCCATTGTGGCTTCCTTCTGGGATGGGATGCCCGTGGCCCTCTGGAGGAAGGCCTAGGTGTGCTGACAGGTCATCTGCTGTATGTTCCAGGCGGTACCTTCCCGAATTGAAAGGCTTCCCTTCTCGATACATCTATGAGCCCTGGAACGCCCCAGAGTCCATTCAGAAGGCAGCCAAGTGCATCATTGGCGTGGACTACCCACGGCCCATCGTCAACCATGCAGAGACCAGCCGGCTCAACATCGAGAGAATGAAGCAGATCTACCAGCAGCTCTCGCGCTACCGGGGACTCTGTAAGGAGCACTCCCATCCTCCCCGCCTCCACCATTTCCTAGCTGAGGGAAGGACAGCACTGTAGGCCCTGAGACCCATAGAGGGGGACTTCCGGTGCTTGCCAAGGGAGTGCAAGTGCGGTCTTTCAGGCTGTGGAGCTGACCTGACTTCCTGGGGCACAGGTCTCTACAGGCTGGGCTGGATCAGGCCTCCCTGGGTAGTAGTGAGGCAGTGGGAAGCCATGGAGCCTTGGCGACACAGTCCTGCCCTCCCCACCCCTCTTTTCTCTTGCCCTGAACTTCTATACTTCACAGGGCTGCATTCTGATTACGTCGCTGCCTCTCCCCTAGGTCTACTGGCATCTGTCCCTTCCTGTGTGGAAGACCTTAGCCACCCTGTGGCAGAGCCTGGCTCCAGCCAGGCTGGTAGCATCAGCAGCACAGGTGAGTAGCAGAGCTGGCTTGTGGCCTCCTGTCGCCTGTGCTACCATTTCAGTCTTCAGGGCTGAAGCCAAAATGAGTCCTTGCCTGGGGGAGCTCATATTCCCCCTGGGCAGACAGGTAGTAAGGGAACCAAGTAAAATCCTTTCAGGTAACAAGGGCTTTTGAGGAAAGTCCAACTGAGTGGCTGATGGAGAGGGCTGGGGAGCAAAGGGTTCCTTGGGTCCCTTTGCTGGGAGCAGTCAGGGAACACATTTTTGAGCAGTGGTTGATTACTATGTGATGAGCAGAAGTCAGCTTTTCCAAAAACTGGGGAAAAGAACATTCTAGGCAAAGGGAATAGCAAGAAAAGGCCCAGAAACAGGAATCAAGCCCACTCAAGGAACAGGAGAAGGCCAGAGTGGTAGTGTGTCATGCATGAGGAGCTAGAATGAGCTGGGGACAAGGTGTAGCAGGATCTAGAGGCTCCATGTCACTCTCAGGGGAGCAACAGGGTGAGGCATGGTTCCACTTTTTAAGGTATTTTTTTGGGGGAGCGGGGAGCTGGGGATTGAATCCAGGGCCTCATGCATGCTGGCCACGTGCTGTGCCACTGAGCCACACCCCAGCCCCCACCAAAGTTTTAGAAGCTCTTCTGGCTGCTGCATGGGAGCAGAGAGTGTGGGACAGGCAGGAGTACATCGAAGTAAGGAAGGAGGTGCCGACAGGCGTGCAGACAGGAGGTGACAGTGAGAAAGAGAGCGTGCTGCATCCTGAACCTTGGGCTTCGGGTCAAAGGTAGTGATGTGGAGCTGACAGATCTCCAAGGGTTTGTCCAGTCTGCCCAGCCAGGCCGCACCGTGGGTTGGAGTCCTGCTCATCTCTGTTCTGGGAGACCCAGGGTGACAGGGGTAGTGCCTTACCTTCAGAACAGGGACATTAGACAGGCCAAATCCATCTTTAGCCTGGGACCCATGGGATTTGGGGGCAGGAAGCTGGCTCTGCTGCCAGCAGCCCTGGCCGTGTTCTCAGAAATCTCCAGGCAAGGTCACTGCTGAAGAGAAGGTCTGAGGAGCAGTTCGTGGCGGGCTCCCTGTGGCCAAAGAGCTGTTGCTGCATAGGCCGGGGTCATCTTGGCTGTAGGTCGTCTCTGTGACCCTTTAACATGCTTCCCCACAGGCCCCAGACCACTACCCAGTGGCCCAGCATCCCCCAAACGCAAGCTGGAAGCAGCTGAGGAGCCACCTGGCGAAGAACTCAGCAAACGGGCAAGGGTGGCAGAGTTGCCCACCCCAGAGCTGCCAAGCAAGGACGCCTGAGAGTGAGTGACAGCAGCCTGGAGTCATCCTTGGGAGAGAGGTGGGGCTTGGTTGGAAAAACCCTGTCTGTCGGCTGGAGGTGAAGCAGTGAGGTGCAGTCTGGCAGGGGACTGCGGGGTGTGTGAGATTTCAGCTTGCAGTCCCTCCACACTGACTTTCATACCTTCTAAAATTGAAAAGGAAATTTAAAAGTTGAAGCCATTTGCTTTGTTTGCCAGCTAAAGAGAAGGGAAGGCCTATTGGTTGATTGGTTTGGGGGTCTTTTTGATGCTTTCTACATGTTAAAACTGAGTTCATGTGGCTCAGTGGTAGAGCGCTTGTGTATGAGGCACTGGGTTCGATCCTCAGCACCACATAAAAATAAGTAAAGGTATTAAAAAAAAAAAAAGTGAGTCAAGTCCAACAAGAAGAACACAGAGCCAGATGTGAAGCAGTGAAGTGGCCCTGGGAGTGTTGGGGAGGCTCCCCAGCCCCCGTCCCAGCAGGCTGTGTTCTGAAGGCAGGCCAGCGGAGGGCAGCACTGGCCTCCAGAAGACAGGAGAGGGCAGGGCAGCACCACCCAGCCTAGCCCCACCTGAGGACAAGGGACCAGCCTCTCCAGTCACCGCCACTCCTCCCTTCTCACCTTCCTCCCAGTGGCTTCAGCTCTGCACTTGTCAGTCAGCGCTCATCTTTTCTGGAAGCTTCTTGAATGTCATTTAAAAAAAAAAAAACTCTCTTCCTTCCCAAAGCAGGAAGAGCCTTTTATGCTTTTCTCAGGGAAATAAATACAAATCACCGTCCTCTGAGTCGCTGTTCGTTAGATGCCATGACTGCATCAGTAGATTGGAGGGATATTTCCTCAGTGGGGCTGTTTGGTTCTTTTTTCCACATCCCTCTCACCTTGGGGACACACAGGGGCCATCTAGTATGAATGTGTAGGTCTGTGTGCTCAGTGAGACAGTGGCATTTGATGCTTGTACCCTCTACCTTTCCCGGGCTGTTTAATGTAGTCACCGCTAATAGGCAGATTGTGCTGTCTTATTCTTGGGACTGCCTACCAGCAGAATCCTGTCCCTATTGTAAGTCTGGAACTTTCCAGGCCCATGCTCTGATTTTCAGGCAAGGTCAAAGAACAGAAGTCTAATGTCTGGGGTATGGCTGCTCAGTAAACTGGTGGCATCCAACTCAGCGTGGCATTGTTGCCAGCAGATGTATGAGGAAGGAGAGGCATAAAAATGTGGTATGGTGTCCATCCATGGCATCTCAGCAGTGCTTAGAAAAGGAGTATAAATAAGCAAGGTGAGGTGGCACCTGCCTGGGATCCCAGCTACTCCAAAGACTGAGGCAGCAGGACGGCAGGTTCAAGCCCAGCCTGGGCAACTTAGCAAGACCCTGTCTCAAAATAAGAAATAGGAAGGGCTGGGGTATAGCTCAGTGTGAGAGTGCTCCTGGTATGTGTGTCAGTTAGGAATGTATGGGGCTGAGACCCATTAGAATCCCGAACCCCAGATTCTAAGATCCAAAATGCTCTGAAATCTAAGTTTTTGGGTTTTTTTTTAATCTAAAACTGTTTGAGCACCAACATAATGGTCAAAAGTTTTGAATTTTAGAGCATTTTAGATTTCAGATTCTCAGATTAGTGATGCTCAGTCAGTAAAGTCTATGCAAATATTCTGGAAAAAAAAACCCTCTGAAAATCCAAAATATTTCTGATCTCAAGCATCTTAGTGAGGGATGTAAGACCTGTACTTGCATCCACATGTACAAAACCCAGTCAAGTGGCTACATCAACTAGGGGTAACCAGGCACAGTGGCTTACTCCTATAATCCCAGCAATTTGGGAGACTAAAAGCAAGAGGATTGGGAGTTCAAAGCCAACCTCAGCAACTTAGTGAGACCCTGGCTCTAAATTTTAAAAAATAACATAGAGCTGGGGATGTGGCTCAGTGGTTAAGCACCCCTTGGTTCAATCTCTGGTACAAACAACTAGGGTATATTCTTCTCACCTAATGAAAAGTCCAGAGATGGGTCTTGCTAGTTTGTGTTTGGTGGCACCACAATGGCAGAGTCAGAGATTCTATTGACCATTGCTTAGGGGTCCCCATATGGCTGCTCCAGCTGCAGCCATTGGTACCTCTTCATGGCAGGAGACAGAAGGACAGCAGGGATAGTCGTTCTCATTTATCCAATTAACAATGTCCATGTATTCCCACTCATAAGACACGTTCTAGGCAGTGGAGGTGTGGCAGAGAACCCGACTGACAGGCCCTCCCCGGGGTGCGTATTAGTGGGAGAAGACAGACAGTAGAAGGACAGAGAAAGATTGTAAGTGCTATGAAGAAAAATCGAAGTTGGAGAAGAAAATAGAAAGTAAAGGTTGGGACACAGGAAAGATTGCAGTTTTGTGATCTGAGGGTTGTTGTTCTAGGGACTGCACTTTGAGAACCACTGTCTTAGACCAGTCATGACCCACTGTCTGGACCAGACCTATGATACCCTGAGCAGAATCCAGCTTAGCTGGGAAGAACAGATGCATGTACAGAATGCTTAGCCCAGGGCCGGCTCTTAGCCCACAGCAAATGGTCATTCTTGTTATGATGGATATTATTAGGTTATTGCCTTTAGAGGAACTTAAGGTCATAGTTGGGTCTAATCCTAAAGGGCCATGAGGTCTGGCATATGGGTCCCTTGGGGGACTCTCTAGGAGTGAGGAAGCCTATGGAACAGGGATGATTTAACTGGCATTTTGGGGAGACAACCCACTAGATTGGGCCCTGCAGAGAAGTAGGTGGGTGAGAGGCAGCCAAGTGATGGCATCACAGGTGCAGAGTAAGCCCCACCTCTTGCCCTGAGTCCAGGACATCGTGTGTCAGCCTCCTGGGGTTTCAGGGGCTGCTTCTTGAGGCTCACCGTGTTCGTAATTGGTGACTCACTGGGCAAGTGAGGCCAGGGAAGGTAGGAGTTAGAGCCAAGAGGATGTCAACAAGAGCAGACCTCCCTCCAGGACCCCCTGAGAGAAGATGCACCTGTCTCTGCAGAGCCTGGGCCTGCACAGGGGTAGCATCATCATCTGTGGAGTGGCAGGGAGGCCTCCCATCAGCTGCCCTGCTCACTGTGTATACCTGGGGGGGATGAAAAGCCATCCATGCACAGGCTTTGCATAAGTCAAGTGCACCGTGCAGATGAAATCACAGGATCATCTGCACGTGCTTCTCAGGGTGGCTTTGATTGTGCTCCTGTTAGTTCAGTCAGAGCTAGCACCCTGTCCTGAATCGGCCACAGACAGAGGCTCTGGGGCTCAAGTTCATGCAGTATCTTGCCCTTCCTCCCCACTTGCTGTGCCGCTTTTGGTTGTGTGACTTTGGGCTGGATCTGGAACTTTCTGAGGTGCTTCAAGTTTAAGGTGTCACCAGTCATTCTTTAGCAAGCTGAGGGCTTCATCCTGAACCTTTCAGGGGCTCGTCACCCTGCACTATGTAGCTTTGTGGTTGTGGAGTGACGGCGCACAAGATGGACTTCACAATTTTAAACTGATACTGTGGAAAAACAGGTCTGCCGCCCGGGAATCCACGCCTGCTTCAGATCCACACCAGCGGACGCGCTGCCTTTAGTTCAGTTCACAGCCACCGCCCGGCAGTCCGTCAGCTCCCGTTGTGCCTGGACTCCTCTCACTGCCCCAGCTGACCTACCCTGCGGAGAATGTCTTGCATGTTCGCTGCCCCTGTGTTGGAATCGTGCCCTCTGCGTACAGAGGGTTCACGGCCATGGAACCCTCCTGCCCTCCCTGGCCTGCGAGGTCAGCCCCTGGGCTTGGTTGAGTAAAACCTGAGTACTCGCAAGTCTTTGCTGTCGTCTTGACACTTGTTTCATTGTGTCCTCCCCCTCGCGTGGGACAGGCACTGGTGGTCTGGAAACGTGGACATGGAGGCAGCGTGGCTTCCATAAGTGTTGAGGGCTCTGACTCAAGCCCGCGGCCACATGCCAGCCAGTCCTGCTACTCCCTGACTGTGTGACTTCACACACATTGTCTCACTTTTCAGTTCCTGAAAATGAGAGGGACCTCAGTGTCCCTAGCACTTTCCCTGGCACTTAAAATGTAGTCGCTGACTGACAGGTGTCCCTTGTCTGTTCAATATGACTTGTGCGGTGCTGGAAGGGTACAGGTGTGGTTGATGAGTGGAGACTGAGCTGAGAGCAGCAGCCTGTGTTTGCTCCAGCCACCCCATCTCTTTACTTCCCTGGTCCTGACTTGGGGGCTGGGGAGCAACCCTCTGCCTGTCTTTGCTCTTGGGCACTGTGCTTCCCCCACACAGTGTGGAGAAGGGAACATGGGGACTTGTTAAGGCTGCAGACCCAATCTCCCACAGCCCAGCCGCCGCTGACACCAGGGGGGCCTCATTTGGTCTCCTCAGCTCCTTTCTGCCGACGTGTGTCCTAGCTTAAGAACAAGGTCACAGTCCTCTGCTAAGTGAGCAGCTAGAGGAATCTGTTGAAGAGACCTTTGCCTCACTTGGTAGACAAGAGTAAGCTGGTATCCTGTGACAGTGGCTGTAAACCCGCTGTAGAGGGCCTGGGTGACTGGGGCTTATCTGAGGCCCACCCACTGGCACTGCCCTTCACGAACTGCTCCAAACTAAGTGTTCTGTGTTATCACTGCATCTCACCCCATTCCTCTAAGGTAAAACTGGCTCCTAAACCCTTTGTGAATCCCCTGCCTTTGGAGATTCTGATGGAGGATGGAGCCTCTCCCCAGAACACTGCACAGGTTCATGTGCACCAAAGCGTGTGAATATGGCACACATGCATGCTGGAGTACTATTCAGCCACAAAAGAGAATGAAATCCAGATGAGCATGGTGGCACATGCCTGTAAGCCCTGCAACTCTGGAGGCTGGGGCAGGAGGATTGCAAGTTTAAGGCCAACCTCAGCAACTTAGCAAGACCCTAAGCAACTTGGCAAAACCCTCTCAAAAATAAAAAGGGGGCTGGAGATGTGGCTTGGTGGTTAAGCACTTCAGGTTCAATCCCGATGCTGGGAGCCATTAGCCAAGTAGGTATG